CCTACTATGGGACTTCTCAGCAGTGCGCATCCACGATCCCGCACCTCGCGAGATTCCAACCCAGGACCTATCAGTCTCGCGCCAGGCGCTTAACCAACTAGACCACTGGACCGGCATCCAACGGTGTTAATGTCTAACTTCAACGAATCCACGAAGTTGCGCCACCGTACAGAATTGTGTTCAGCGAGCTAATATCTCACAACAGATCTGATTGAACTCCACTGGTCACGGCTTCTCATTAGAACTCGAAGAGTATCTCTTGAAGTCAGTCACCAATGAGCAGATGATTATGATCAGAAGGGGTTTTGTGGAGATTTTAGAAATATTTAAGTAACTAATAAACTGATCATATTATTAACATAAGTAAATGATAATAGGAAATATAGAAAATGTATTAAGATTAATACAGTCTACATATCACAAATAGTGAATCTTTAAACAAACATTTTTCATTGATTTAAGCACAACTGTACAACAACAAAAGTCTTTCAAAAGTAAATATTCATGTTTTGAATTTCATTTGGTAAATTTATTTTGTATTTGATAACACTAACACACATGATCAAGATGAATAATTTAATTCTTACTGAAGATCTTTATTCAAAAATATTTTTAGGCAATTTGTTTACTGAAGCATTATTCTATTCATTCACTGAAAACAATCACATTAGAAAATAATGATAATCATTATTATCTTGAGAAAAGTGCTACATCTGGAAGTTCAGCACTGAACTTTAATTTAATGTGTTTGGGTATTGTAATATATTGTGGGCAAGACTCTAATTTAAGGACGACCTTTGAACAAATCTTAAGTGACCCTGACAATTATTAGCCAATCAGAAGAAAGTTAGTATAAAGTGAAAATATATTATATGAAAGTAATGAATTACAGTGGATATTCTCCTTTTACATGATGTAAAAACTTGTTAAGGTTTGATTAAGGTTCAGAGGTTTTCAATTCACAATGCATATGGAATAGAAACTCGTCCATTGGGTTAGGGTTAGGTTTACGGCTAAGGTTAAGGTGAGTTAGGGTTTAGGGTTAAGGTTAGCGTTAGCTTAGAGTTTAGGGTTAGGATTAGGGTGACAACATACGGTTAGGGTTAAGGTTACGGTTTAGGGTTAGGTGAGAGTTAAAGTTTAGGGTTAGGTGAGGGTTAGGGTTATGATGCTAGCATACGAGTTTTTAAATCATGTGAAAGAAGAATATCCACTGTAAATTATTACTTTCTTTTAATATATTTTTACTTTATGCTGTCTTCTGATTGCCTAATAATTGAAATCGCTCAAACGCTTCTGATTGGCTCGTCCCTAAATTAGAGTCTCGCCTTTTCATCTGTTGTAACCTTTCATTAATCACCTACTCTATAAAATCCGCTGTGAACTGATCGTATGTTAGGATCGCGTGTTAAACTTGGCTCCGCGACCTTGAAATTGCTCAAACGCTTCTGATTGGCTCGTCCCTAAATTAGAGTCTCGCCATCTTGTGCTCTGTGTCCTATCAATGTATATCGCAATGATACCGCCAATTAGAGAACAGTGAATTATCGACCGGACCGATGGCACATAAAACAAGAACAAGCGGTCTAGAATCCTCATCGGTCCTGCTTCCCGCCTAGCCCTGCCTGTTAAGTCCAGAACACCAATCTCAGACTCTGCGATATGAATCATTTATTTCAAACATACTGGGTTTATATGTCAACCAGACAAACCACATCACACCATAAAATAGGAAACAAAATTTGTACAAGATTTATCCACAACCACAACATCAGCCTTGAAGCTTTAGCTAAACTACAAATGGACGATCCAGATTTGAAGACCTGCAAACGGAAGTCTAACTTGAATCTTAAACCTGTACCCATTCCTTTCTCAGATGCATCTATTATTTGCGACACTTCAACGGGTAATAATCGCCCCTTTGTGCCACAACCCTGTCGACGAAAAATATTTCAACAGCTACATGGACTGTCGCATCCAGGCATCAGAGCTATCACGAAGCTTATCACAGAACGCTTTGTTTGGCCAAAAATCAATTCGAATGTTAAATGTTGGACACGTGGCTGCTTACAGTGCCAACGCAGCAAAATCCAAAAACACACCATCAGCCCGATCAGGGAATTCCCTATTCCCGACAAACGTTTTCAACATATTCATTTGGACTTAGTTGGGCCACTGCCTCCGTCCAATTCCTTCACCCACATTCTCACCGCAGTAGACAGGTTTACTAGATGGGCCATAGCCTGCCCCATAAAAGACACTTCGGCAGAAACAGTCGCTTCAGGCTTCCTCGACCGCTGGATATCTAACTATGGAGTACCATCAGTAATCACAACAGATCGTGGTCCCCAATTTCAATCTGTCCTTTTTCAGGAGTTCACTAACCTTCTAAGGGTCAACCACATTAATACCACAGCTTACCACCCAGCAGCTAATGGCATGGTTGAAAGATTCCATCGCCAATTAAAAAGCTCACTGATGGCGCAAGCTGACTCATCAAAGTGGAGCGATGCCTTACCGCTTGTACTCATCGGTACTCGTTCAACCATAAAGGAAGACATTGGATGTACAGCCGCCGAGTTAGTCTATGGTACAACTCTAACGTTACCTGGTCAACTAGTCAACTATGAACCTACAACGCACGGGGATTCTACTTACTTCGCCTATTACAAACGATGCAGAATATTAAAGCAATATCCCCTCGTGAACACAAAAATCGAGTCCAACTTGATAAAAACCTTGAACGTGCAAATTTGTCTTCGTCCGAGTAGACGCGGTTAAAAACCATTAAAACAACCAAACAAAGGCCCATATAAAGTAATTAAACGCACACAAAAATACTTCATCATCAACAGAGATGGCAACAAGCAGACCATTTCTAAAGACAGAATCAAACCTGCTTTCTATGAAGCTACTCAAGTCCAAGAAGACAACGCCGTTGACAAACAACCCCTCCCACCAGTGACTGAAAAACCAGTGGAGGATAAAAAACTTAATACTAAGCCTTCTTGTTTAACACGCTCCGGTAGACTTATAAACAAATCTAAGCGTTATGTCCATTTCGTCGATTAAAAAAACAACAAAGCACACACCGACCGATGTCACACACTACTAATTTCACCCAAAAAAAACTTTCTTCCCTTTTCACAGTGTACATAATCACATTTTTCCACAATTATTCGTTTTGTCACATTTATTCTTTTTCTATAAAAAAATTTTTGTTACTATAATAAACGAGTAAACTCTATTTACTTACTCATTTATTGTACACAAAAATGAACAGTTCAATTTTTCTTTTGGGTCATTAGCAGTTTTGCACTTTATTATTATCATTGTTAGCCAACCAACACATTAAATGACAGTGTCTTCATTTTTGTGTGTGTGTTTATTATGCTATGCTACATCTCTGCTACATGTCATACTCATCTCCACATTTTTGTTAGCTATAACTGTGAATATTATTTTTGTATACATGTATATATCATATCCTTACATTGTTTTTTTATTATAACCAGTGCTAACTCCGGACACTCTGGGGGGAGCTATGTGGAGATATGACTGACAAGTTTATTTTGCAAATACTTTTCAATGTTATTTGTATTTATTTTGTCAACCTTCCACTGTATTTATATTTAACATTAAATGACTGTAACTGTTGTTTTAGTAAGCGAATATCCAGGTATGTTTTCACTTTTCTGAACAAGAGTTGCCCCTATTCGAGATGCTCTCCCAACTGAAGTGATCACAGCCCCATGAGTGGATAGCTTTAGGAGGAGACTTAATGAACAGGTGCTGACACGTAGATTACCATCTCCCTCACGTATCAGCTGTGTCTGGAGCCTGTCCTATAATTTAACACGATCATCATTAACACATATCAGTAACTAATTCCAATCTCTCTCATTATCATTTACGCCTACACTTTTGCTCTTTCAATTCGGTCTTATCACAAATTACCAATTAGTTAACTTATTTATTTTTTGGGACAATCGTCTACTTTTAGCACTCGAATAAACACTTAATCATTTTTATGATTACAGCCAACCAACCTCCTTCATGTTATGTGATAGCTGCTGGTTTTCAGGATTCTCGTTGCTCTAAGACAAACTCCCTCAAAACACAAGATATACAAGTCCACAAGCAAATATCATACTTACTAGAATTAATGCAGTCAAGTAACTGTACTATCACTCGTTGGAGACTACAAAATCCGTATATCCGTACCGAAACAACGAGAAGCGAGAGCAAAGAAATCAATCGGTGACAAAAATCTCGTCAGAAAAATAGCTGATGTTGAATATCGGAACTGTAGGTCCTAAATGAAACGAAATATCATATCATTAATTTATAATATTGCTTGACCTCTATAGATGAGTTAACTAATTTAAATATCTCAAACTCTTTGAAAGTAACTTTGTACATTAATTGCAAATTATCAGAAGTGAATACTTTAGAAACGAAATGTGATTCCACGAAAGGTTATTGTTAGGCCTAAACAATAATAAAGTCTGTGAATAATTTTTTTTCATTGAATTAACTCTGCATCCTACAAATCATACATTTCGCTCTTACGCATCTACTTCACATATTTAGCTGCAATCTAGATACTATGATCACCATGATCATGTTAGAACGCTTCTAATTGATCTTATCAGCAATTTATGGTAATTTTGATCAAGAACTGCTTCATTACAAATTTCGTCACCTCGACAGTGGACCGAAGTTCGAAATATTGATCATTGATAAATATGCTATCGCAGCAATTACGAAACCTGAAAGTCATGCCTTCGAGTCATACGAGATCCTACGTTCAATTCTACGTGGATGCATCGGGTGCCAACTGTAGAGGGGCTAACTAATATTACCATATGTATATCTTCATTCATGTTTTTCTAATAATTCTCCAAATGATGTTGGTTAGTAATGAAACTCCAATCAACTCTTATTTCAAGATATGAAGTTACAGTCTAATAAGCCCATCACTAATTCTTTCAAGGAATATTGGCGTTGATGTTGAAATTAATGTAGGTCGATGGAAATGAGTACATTATTGTATATAGATATCCCTAGAGCATTTTGGGCAAAGTTTGTATTCACCGTTGATTATGAATAAAAGGCGTTTACAAACAGGTAAATATTTGTATTTGTACCTTTATACGTTAACTGATACATTGGATCAATCAAAAGTCGATAAAATGATAAGTATACGTTATTAGACAAGAAATAATTAAAATCTCTCAAAAATAATAAATAGATCATTGGTGACTGAGTTTTTTAAGAAACATGTTCTGGTTCGTTTGGTCAATAAAATTTTTTTCTTAATTTGAGTCTTTTCACTCGAATAGATGGTTGCACTCATATATGGGATGATTGAACATCATTATTAAAATTGGGCACTGCAAAACACAACATGATCTAATCGATTTCATACAGGATCTGTCTTCATTAAAAGAGATTCGATATAAACGAATACTGAGAATATGAATACTAAAATGAAGATTTCAAAGAAAACAAAACATTAATCCCAGATAGGATTGCTAGCCAATATCTGAAAATACAATTTTACTCTTGTCATGTTCACAACTCATATTCTAAATTGTAAATGGAAGAAGTAAAAAGGAATCTGAATCCGAAATTGTATATTGATTTATTAGTTGTATGATTTTGCCTGATGGCAATATAATTTGCATAATTAAGTCTTTTGATCAATTGTAATATGAGTTGCTTTGTTTTGCATGTGTGTGTGTGTGTATATGTTTATGTTTGAGATTGTTTATATGCTCGAAATGTAACGAAATGTACAATTAGTACTTTATTGTTTCTCATGATATTACGAATAAATTGTATTCAATGGATTGATTTTAGGAAGTAAAAATAGAACACACTTTGTTTAGCCAACACTTTTCATTGGTTACTAAATGATTGGCTGACATAATAATGATCTAGATTACCTATTTATACTGCAGTCACTATTTATTTATTAATACCGAAGATTAAACGACGGTATAATAGTTAGATTTATTAATCGTATGGATTTCAATAAAATTTTACTGCGATCTTTGTTTTTACTTTCAGTGATCATATTACAAGAAGTGAATGGTACGTCTTGACAATTATGTGTTAAAGTAAAATTTTAGAAAAAGTTTATATTATTTAACAACTTACATTAAACTTATCCATAGAATATATAGTTGAGTGTAAACAGTCAATTGTTAATAAAGATTAGTTTGAAGAAGATTTTCTCTAAGAAAATTTCAGCGATACTCTAATTCATAGTATATTGTTTAGAAGATGATACATTTTAGTGTTATGTTCATATAACATCTCAGTTTACATTACATTGGATAGCCTAATATCAAATAATAGTAATTTCAATGGTTAAGATCATGAGTCAAATGAAGCTAGATCACCATTGAAAGCCTGGAAGCACTGGACGGCCGTTTCGTCCTATTGTGCGACTCCTCAGCAGTGCGCATCCACGACCTCGCCCCCTGCGATATTCGAACCCAGGACACACTGGTTTCGCGCGCGAGCACTTAACCACTAAACCACTGAGCCGGCATCCAACTGTGTTAATGTTTAACTTCAACTAATCCACGAAATCGAGCGACACATTCACCATTGTCTTCAGTGAGTTACTATCTCACAACAGACCTGGTTGAATAATAGTCTTAACTATCTGTTAAAGGTCAGATTCAGTATGCCCGTAGATGTAGTTAAATATTTTACTTGTCCAATCATACCACAAAAATTCCTTCGTTTTCTTAAGTGTAAAATACACAGAAATGTTGTAGGATTATGTAATAATGTAATCAGTTATTCATGTGACCTTGGAATTTTTTTTAAAGTGACAGTGTCGATTATTTACTGTTATTCAACTGTTCAACATCTAACTATTGTTGAATCTTTCAATTTTGTTCCACATTTTTATCCATAATAATATCAACAACAGAAAAAATATAATTAATTTATCATCTAATAAATCCAAGTCTGGCTACCAAATGCTTCGTACTGTATTAAGATTATTTACTGGAAATAAATGACATTTGAACTGTTCTTTCAAACTGAAAATAAACCAGATACTGAGTATGAACTTTAAGTTGGTTTATTATTAGCATAATAAGTTTATAAGCTGAAATATCTGCTGTCATTACAATAGCGATGCTTTATATTCAGGTTGGATGATAACCATTGATGTAACACATGTATGGAAACGATGGATTATTTTTGGGTAACAAATAGCTATTAATTCATTGCACAGAAAACTTAAACAGAAAACACTACCTAACAGATATGTAGACTTATGATGTGATAAATTATCTCACTGAGATTGTCAGTTAGGAGTAAGGGAAAGTGTTGACTTTCATTGAGATCACGAAAGGACGATTACTGAAAACCTGATGGTCTAAATTAGATCGGTCCATGATTTCATCAACTGAAGTTGTTTGTGGTTAAATACGTGACTGTTTACCGCCTGTATTTCAAATATATTCTCACTAATAATTTCGGTATGTAATTCTCAAAATAAATATCTTCATTATTGATTTTAATTTTAGGACGAACGGGAACTGGAGGTAGTACTTTTGAAAACGCTTAGGATGCTTACCAATATAATATTTTCATGGCTAATATCCTGTTGAAATAATGTTAAACATATTTTTTTACATAATAGATTACATGCATTCTTTGTGGTAATTCCTATAAAGTTATGGTGACCATTTATAGAACAGCTGAACCAGTCATATTGGTTATACTTAGTTTTTTATTGCATCGATTGAGAAAAACCTTATTACAAGAACGAAACTGATCAAAAACCATTTGTCTTATTTATCTTTAATCCGAGATGTTGCGAACAAAATAAGTTGATTAGGTCATTCAAGGACCAAAAATTTTTATGATATTTTCAATTCACTAAGTTACTAGTTCGTGGGACGAATAGAAATAAGCAAGTGGAATACCGTATAACTGAAAGACATAAACTTCAGTAAATATTGTTTTAGTACAAATGTTTGCAATTGAATATGATAGAAGTTTATCACATTGGTTGTAATCATGTGAAAACCTTACTATCTATTCTTGAAGAAAACTATGTAGCGGTAAAGAATATTTATGTGTGGGTGAGAATGATAATGATTTGTTGTCTGCTTAGTCAAACATGTAGATAGTTTGACAGGTGTCAGATGTGTTATATATTCCCATATCCTTATAATTATTATCACTGATTGTTCATTGTTGTTGGGTTGTGTTGGAAATATATTTTCATTCTAGTCAGGTTAATCACGTGTTTTCGATCTGAGTTGTGTTGAGGTCCTGTAGAGTAGAATACTTGGAGGGAATCTAGTGTAGATATTCGTCTAAGGTAAACTAACGTCCCATACGTGTAAACGTGGGAAAACCAACCGTTATAACAAATATAGAAATATAATTACTGACAGTATTCAGATATGAAAAGACCAAATTCAGTCAATGGACATTAGGTTTACTTTTGTAATAGAAAAAAAATGGAAATCAACAGTTTGTAAATATCATGTTATGATCATTTATCTCTAATTTGTCATTATAAAATAAAATAAAACAGAGTAAAATGCAAAGCAAGCAGCCCTGAACAACTATTTCAACTTATATGATAAACCTAATGAATTGCAGAAACGAGATGATTTCATGGTGAGACTATAATTTATGGACGAACCAATCAGGTATAAGATAACAGGTCTCGTATAATGGTGCGAAATTCACTCATCCATTTGGATAAATAGGATTTTGGCATTATAGTTGATTTCAGTTCGTGATGAAAACCCTAAATCTAATTCGTAACCTTAACAATCAATTGTAAATCATAATTCTAATTCCACACACAGGTTTATAACCCTCATTTGGTCTTAGATATTAGGTGGACATTCTCAAGGTCAGTCTGGCGTCTCTCAAAGGTTGTCCATGAATTATAAACTCACCGGTTTCATTTATGAATGAAATTATTTTACTTTTACTGTCTACATGTTGACTAGCTTGTGCTGGAAGGAATTATTGATACTGATTTGTATTTCATGAAGTATATTATTAGCTATTTAAATGAAGCTAAATCTGTAAAAGGGAACAATTATATTTATCAGTTCTTCCAATTGTTATTTCAATGTATTTCACATGTTGTCTACTTGTAATTTGATCAATATTTATAAAATGCATATCAGCTGTTGAATAGTGTTATCCAACAGAAATGTAGCCGTCAATATACCAGGAATTTGATATTCTAAGGTAGTTTCACAATGAGTTAGTCAAATCTTCAATAATATCTTACATGATGAATAAAACATTTAGAAAAATGGTCAGTTATGTATTCTGACCTTGATGTAACATGGTACCAACTAATCACGATAGCAGAGTTATCCACGTAAGCATTATATATATTTCAGTTATCTTCAATTTAGAGTGAGTTGAAATTAAGTTATTTTCAATGTATATTGTGAAGTTCCCTTCTATTCTAAATAGTCACTTATTAACTAGTTACTTCATCATTGAATATGTACAATTATAGATACTTTTGTATGTAAATAAGTCAATAACCTTCAATAAAATGATGCTTAATCTCATCATCCTTATAAACAAATATGATTGGAAGTAAGAGTTTATTTATTGTATTGATGTTATAGTATTATTCTGTGAAGGTACATAAAATGAGATTGTGGATAAATCCGTTTGAACGATTTAGTGCTTGAGTCTATTAAAAAGTATTACTTACTTACTCACGCCTGTTACTCATCGTGAAGGAGCATAGGCCGCTCACCAGCATTCTCCATCCAACCCTGTCCTGGTATTAAAAAGTATGCTGTACATTTATAGAGAGAAACAGTTAAGTCTATAAGCAAAACACTGAGAAATACTTACTTCTCCTGATATGTATATCAATAAGAATTTGTTATGTTTTTATTTGGTGAAAGCAAACTTCAATATCATCTTTATGTGTTCAAGAAATGTGTGAAAAGTAATTAGCATAGATATTTCTTTCTAAGTATTAATCTATTGGGTCACGGTGTGGTGCGTGCTACTTATATTGATGTAAATAGTATATGACGCGAGTTGCAAAACGTAATGTCTGGCAGCAGAAGATGGGGCAAGATCAAGAAAGGAAGAGCGGGAACACAATGCAATTTGTAAGAAAACGCATAAACAATCAAATGTGAGACAATCGATTGATGATTGCAACAGGAACAGTTCGGTTTGATATGATGGATTAATATTTTGCAAATTAACGATTCACTATATGGTTTTCCTATTTTACCGCGTAATTCTGTAATTTTGTGCTAAATACGTTCGATTGTCCCCACCCGTGTTCGGGTCACTACAAAGGTAGAGAACCCAATGTGACAAGAAACGACAGCTGAAGTCTTTTAGTTTATTTTTACTAATTGTTGTTGCATATAGACAGAAATCATAATTTTGCTAAATTTTCAAAGTTATTCATGACTTTCTGTAGAAACGTTGATAGTGTCATTAAAACAAATTATTATCACACTTCAGACAGCTTATCTTAGACCTTTGGTAAGTCAGTTTCTCTATTATCCTACTTATTATACAGCTCATATTATTCATGGCTAATACGGAACGATGCAATCTTGGATCGAAACAAAATTATCAAGATCATCTCTCATCACAATCATAATATCTTATATTTACTAAATTGAATACATATCTTAATTAATTGCAGACTCTTGTGTTTTAACTAGTAAACTAAGGATTGATTGATGTAATCTAATGTTTACTGCTCTTAATATCTTAGAATAATAAATGAATATGAATTATTCGTTGTACAACACTACACTATTATGGATATATATTTGATCTCAGATGGGTTTTTGTGGAGATTGTAGTAATTTCAATGGTCAAGATCATGAGTCAAATGAAGCTAGACCACCATGGAGAAACTGGAAGCACTAGAGGGCCGTTTCGTCCCATTGTGGGACTTCTCAGCAATGCGCATCCACGACCTGGCCCCCTGCGAGATTCGAACCCACCAGTGCTCCCAGGTTTTCCATGGTGGTCTAGCTTCCACTGACTCATGATCTTAACCACTGAGATATATTGAATTATATTAAATTTACATTTAACAAAATAGTCGTTAACGACTAACACGAATACGTTTCTAATATGTAATACATATTTCTAGTCAAAATATAGTTGTGAAATAAAAGTTGAACACAGAGAGATAAGTTCATGAAAGTTTGTTGCACGATAGGTAATAAATTATTTTTTCAGCTACATTGATATACATATAAAGATCACTTGACATCTAGTTTCCCAGTTTCGAGTATGACTTATTCAACCTGTTATAGATTATAAGCTAATCAATTAGTTGAAGATTCTGACAATACTCTAGTAGAAAAATTATTCCAATAAATATGACCATCCTAGTAGTAAGAGTAAAACATTGATACACATTCTATAATGAACAGAATGATTTTTAAAATAATATGTACTTAATGACGTATTCAGCTCAAACGTTCCATGGAACGTTAAACTAAGCTAAACTTGTTCACATTTAAAGTAGAAAGCATCCATTTTAATTAATTCGTATTTATACTGCATACTAACACATGATCTTGAGGAATACATTTTAGGAAATATTCAATGTTCTACTGGAGTAGAAAAATTCCAAACAGTTATAATGAGTTTTATTTTAGAAAAGTAAATCAAAAATGCTGACATAAGCAGAGATGAATAGTGGCTAGCAGTGGAATCCAGGACGCACGTTTCGTCCTATTTGGAACTCGTCAGCTGCATGTACCTGCATTCTAGAGTTGATGTTCACTCTGGAACTTGATTTTCCTCTAACACACACTAGCAAATACTATCACGGTAGACTTTATCTAAGTACGCGTTAATTTAAAGATATTCGACTTAACAAAATAAAATTATCAGTCCATCTTAAGTATTTTACCGACGGTTGTTGTCAGATCTTGTGTTAACATTATCTTGTTCAGTATATAATAACACGAAACTTATTTCAGTTCACAGATGTGGATTTACATTACTCACTGTTGACAATAGTATTTTTTTCAAGACAGTGTGTTTGTATTATACTAAAGAATACAATAGTTCAAAGGGTAATCATTGTATTCAACGAAACAGTAGAATCTATTTTTCACTCGATCGGGTCATACCAAAAATGTTATGTAATTGGTACATAACATAAAGTACTGGTGGAGTGTTAGAGGTTTCAAGGAAATTCTAAGAATATATTTATCCTATAAACACGTGATCTATGGTCGGTCAATGAGACGAATCCAACTTCATTTTGACTCAAAAAGTTTTGTATATTCACTTCATTGTACACACGTTTACAGTTAATTTTTCATGAACAAATATTAATCGCTTCTATCACTTTCTTCATATTCTACACATTCAGGAAAAACTTGTACGAACGTTTGGCTGAAACATTCAGATGTCTTTTGAACGCATTACCAGTATATCTTGGAGGTACAAATAAAACCTGCTACAAACAGTAACAGCAAAAGATTTTACTTCCCAAAAATTTTATAAAACAAAACATATCAGTTATAAATAAAAAATTTAAAACCTACTGATAACCACACACATTTTAATGAAACTTAATGTTTGATGTGGTGCGAGTCCTTCAAATTAATAGTATTCAATATTTACATAATGCTCTATATTAGTGATATGTATAAACGGACACGTGATATCAAAAAGATCTAGATCCTTCAGTAGATAATTCATTCAGGTTGTTATCTTTATGATGTATCTTGAATTAATGGTGATGAATTCTAGCTACACATTGATAACAGGCTATCAAATACTCCTTTTTCTCCTGTATTCTGCTTCTAAAAGATGGACAAATCTTGAAAGAAATATTTATTTGGTAGAGATCAATAAAACTTGGTTTAAGGAAGCAAATTAAGCGTTGAAAGATCACGGTAAATCGAAAACAAATGCAGAAATACTTCAGTTCGATTCTCAGATTCATGAGTCATGGATACAGAAAATCACTTACTGGATCGAAACAGGATCTTAAACTATGGAGATGAGCAGGTGATAATTACACTATTAGAGTAGAATTCGCTAGTCAGTTTGGGATATAAAAAATCTAATCGTCATGCTGATACAATAAAATATGATAGAATCAGTGGGAAACTTAACGTATAGTATACAGTAAGTGTAAATATAAACTCACATTTTTGTTCTTCACGCAATACTGAGATAAATTACATCCTTCTCTGATCTTTGATTTGGTTGTAAAATCCAAACTAATCGAAATTCCGATTTAGAAAATAGTAAATTAACAGATAAAAAAAATAACATCCTGACCTTAATTGGATTCAAACTAAGTTTTTCAGATACCAGCGTGATGAACGAATAGTTAGTATGGAGAACTAAAGTGTTGTTCAATGCAAAATAACACAGTTGTTCATTAAAATATGAAAATCATACAATGAATACATCGTTTGCACATCTTCTTTGCGCTGCCTTTACATACTACATTATTCTTCTTATTCTGTTGTTATTTTGATTCCTATTCGATTTCCATCCCATTCTCTTCAATTATGCTGTCAGTCACTTCACTCTCGATTGCGGCCACATACTACTTATATTTGTCAGGTTAAGTAGCATATAATACACCAGGATTAAAGACAAACAAGATCACCCAGTAAAAAGGTTGTGACGATAATTGTACTTCACTCAACTCATCAACCGATCAAACTCAGACCACCGCTGAAAATCCGGAAGCACTTGGTGGCTGTTTCATCTTAATATGGGACTCCTCAGTAGTAGGCAACCACGACCGCGCCCAGGAAAATCAGTATCGTGCGCGAACACAAAAAATCTAGACCACTATGTCGGCATCCGGTGGTGTTACGTTTTGCATTCAATCACTCCTCGACACATTGCAACCATCGTCCTTTGGTTTCCATAGTCAATGGTCTAGAGTTAAGCAGTTTGCGCAAAATTGAATGTCATGGGTTAAATTCCGTGTGAAATGGTCGTGGATGCTCACGTCTGAAGAGTCACATACTAGAGTAAAACGGCCACCAAGTGCATCCAGATTTCTAGTGGTGTTTCAACTTAGATCGACTGTTGATTTCAATGATACTGAAATAGGTTTTGGTTCGGCAGGAATTACATGTAAAAGTGGAGTTTCTTGAGTGTTATTCAATTTACTATGCACTCTATTTTAAAAATATTAAAACAACACCTCAAAATCAGTTTTAGAGACAAACTAATGTAAGTTACGTTTGATAGGAAATCATGTCCGGTGTACGAAATTGATTGTTTGATAATATGACCAGTAACTAAATGACATGATCGTATCACTCAAAATTCAGACGCTTCTATATTATTACAATTATATCTTAATTTGCTCATTCGAAATCAATTCAATTGCATTGAAAATTCCTTTCTCATTCCCATTCTACCATTACATTCAGTAGACAAGCTACCAAGAGTAATGACCATATTTTTCAGTAAGAAAAACCTGTTATAAATGTAGATAATATACCTAAAACATTGTTCTCACATGATGAGCTCTGTTTAGTGGAATGAAGATAATCTAAGTCAGCTGATGAATAATAATCTCATCACAGTCACAATCCACCTATTATTGATCACATATGAGATAGATTACCGAACTCGCAGTGAGCAGTCGTGATTAATAGAATCCGATCATGTCGTGATTGGAAAGATAACAATTAATGATTGTAGATGATGGCCGCGCTTTGTATTGAATTGAATAAGAATAGTTAATCAAACCAATAAACTTCTATTCAGTTGTCTAAATTTTGACCTCATGATTTCCATCTTTACTGGTTTAGTGCTTAAGCATATATGATCATTCTCAAGCAAAAACCAATCTTCTTTGTCCTCAATGCCTCTCCAACTAGTGTGTTTGCTGAATAATATCTGTTCATTTGGAAAATAATCGATTCATTATGATTACGAGTACTCAGTTCAGAATAAATCATCACTTTTATGAGCTTACAGCAAAGTGTTAACAATTGTCAGAATAAACACAAAAATACAACTTCGTTAGAAGAAAAATAATGCAATACTAACTCTACTATCTAGTCATGTTGCTTGACTTAATTTGAGTCAGTTGTCAACAAATTAAAAAAACTGGTGTGGAGAGATTTTAGGAAGGGTAATCCGAGAATTAATAGCTTTTAAAAGTTAAATTACAGTAAATCTAATACATATATCCAGGAGTATGTAGAATTAATAACACTTAGTTAACAGTATTTTTGCTACCATCATCGCCGCTATAAACGATTTAAAAGTTACTAAAGGATTCCATGGTGTTTAGAAGTATTCAAACTGATTTGATAACTAAGAATTCCCAAAATAGTGAAATTTAAGGCCGATAGAACTAAACGAGTACAACTGAACGCATTATCATTCAAACCATGAATCAATGAATGTTAGACTACCATTGAAAACCTGAAAGCACTGGATGGCCGTTTCATCCTAGTATTGAACTACTCAATAGCTCTCATACCGCACTCAACATTTGGACCCAGGAATTTCGGTTTCACACGCTGGCTCAGTTGTCCAGAGGTTAAGCGTTTGCGAACAAGACCAAAGGTCACGGGTTCAAGTCCCGCATACAGGATCGTGAATGAGCACTTCTGAGTAGTCCCATACTAGGACGAAACAGTCATCTAGTCTTTCCAGGTTTTCAATGGTGGTTTAACTTAGATTAATTTAGGAGTTCAACTATTAAAATATAGAAACCATATGGACTAACTGTTATTGATCGCACGTAAAAAATTACTTTATTCATTTTGATAACGTAATTCTATTATCAAACAATCTGGTTTGAATGAGATAAATAGTTAATGCTAGATGAACTGATAGTTTCAGTCTTGCTACTATATCGAGAGTTCAGTTCAAATAAAATAGATTATCAATCACAGTACCTATAATATTAAAATATTTTTAGAAACGATATTTTATTACTACTGTGGTGTGTGCTACTTATATTGACATAAGTAGTATATGATATAAGTCGTGAACAGAAGGTCTGACAGCAGAGAGACAAGAAGGTCGAACAGTAAAGAATCGAAACAGAATGCAATTTGTATAAAAATGCAAGAACAATGAAGTCTGAGTCATTAAGAGACAATTGGTGGATATTTTGCAAATTAAGCATTTACTTAATTATTGTTAGATTTTATTAACGGGTCCTGTAAGTTTGTGTTAAGTACGTTTGATTGTTCAGTGAAGGGATCTCTTTCCAACGAATTTATTATCAAGCTGTACTCTATATATATTATATATTGAGAATTTTTGTAAAAGTACTAATACCGTGAGGAAATGTGAACACAGTTAACCATGACGTTTGATTGTCCCCACTCGTGTTCTGTTCACTACACTACTTCAAATAAAAATCAGTAATATACACAACTTACTAACACAATATACTTTACAGTAAATGTGTATTAGAATAAAAACACGAATCGATTGGTTTCTATTATATCCTTTACTAACAAAATCGATTTTAGTCGTAATAATCGTGCTAAACACTTAAGGTAAATCATGTTGTTGTTGTTTATTATTGGAGTATAGTTTTAGTTTAATTAGAAACTTGATCTATATCAAAAAAGAAATAATGTTTATTTGGATCAAATTACTTTAAAGAGAATACAAATCTTGAATATAATCGATTTGTTGACATGTAGGGGTTACAAATATAACTCATGATCTGTTCATAAATACCTGCGATGTCTAATGGAATAGTATATATGAATAACGTTTTGTTAAATGTTCTAGAACAATCTAGATGAAATAATGCATTCTTATTTTCTACTATCTACAGTAGTTTTAACTTTATCGCTTATATTTCTTGAAGGAATTAATGGTAAGTTTATTAAAATATGACTAGTTGATTGTGTGAATAATGATGTTGATAAATGATTTCTGGGGTTGGGGAATCATACTAAATATCTGTCAATATTTGCTTACTGGTTAGCGTTTTTTTAGCGAGTTAGTTTTCTACGGAATAGGGCCGCTAACCTCATACCCAACCCTCCTCTTTTACCCGGGCTTGGGACCGGCAATAACTCTAGAAGAGCTATAGGCGGAGTTCAGTATCTGCTTAACTGAATACAAATGGACTCAAATTATCTCATGTTATCTAAACCGTTACTTTTAAATATCACGATATATGTAGTTTACTTACTTTCTAGAAATCGGTCATTTCAAGTTTCGTTTGTTAAAACAACATGTATGATAAAGTCTTGATTGGTAATTACTGAAAAATTTGAATATTTGACTGTGGTCCATAAAAACATCTGAGACGCATTACTATTATCAACATCAAATCATGTGGTGTGTGCTACTGATGTCGACAAATATAAGTAGTATGTATCGTCAACAGAAAGTGAAATGCATGGTGGCAGAAGGTTAAGAAGATTGAAGAAAAGAGAACGAGAACAGAGAATGATTGGCGTGAAAACGAGGAAAAATTGAAATCTGAGGCGATTGACTGACATTTAGCAAATGAAGAACTTACTGCATGATTCATGTTCTGTAATTTTGTGTTCAAATAAATTCGATGGTCTCC